ATTCTGTGCTCTACAAGTAGAGAAAATATTAAGTTTGCGCAAAACAGATTTTAGGAAAAAAAAGTTGGATCTAATTATTCTAATACAAGTAAAAGTGATTGTTATGGTGAGATTTGTTATTATTGACTCTGGAAATACAGTTACTTGCTGAATCTAAAAGTAACTAGAACTGTGCAATTCGTTTTATTTCAATTCCAAAGCCCAACGGCATAGCAATAATAAGTTAGATCTAGATCTAGCAGTTGTAGGCTCTCTGGCTGCTTCTAGCATAGGCCTGCTACTACTGATTCTAGACAGGGAATCTAGATCTTGCTATCGCCTGCACTATTAAAGTCAAATATATGGTAAAATAAAAACAAAACTGAATTTTTTTCAGTCAGTACATCCCAATTGCCATAGCCGCACATATTAATAGTTGAATAATGCGATACTGAAGCAACACGTTATCACAGTGTGCAGGGGAGAGCGAGGCGCCCGGTCGATTCCGTGGTTCGGCTTTTGTAGATCTATGCATTTTTTACGGAAAGCCCTATTACCTAACCCTATTACTAGAATTAGATCTATTAGTGTTGTGAAAACTTCAACCTCTACAGCTCAGGCGTCAAAAGATGCTGGAAAATAATAATACGTCCTGAAGTTTCATAATTTATTTTTATACAGAATAACACAGTACACAGCCAGTAGTTTTTATTTCATCGAGTTATAAAAATGGCCTTCGTATAAAAATTGCCTTGTTTTCAGAAGCAAATTTTAATAGTTCTAGTTCTACCGAATCGATTTTCACGCGAATTCAACCATTTTGATGATCTTTCTTTTCCTTTTAAAAAGATGTAGATCTAGGCCTGTCGGATGTGGCAATGCGAATAACACTGAGTTGTTTAGATCTAGACCCATCAAAACAGGAGGCTTCGTGGCCGATCACAAAAGTCTACGGGGCTTATCGAGGCCAATTCGCCCTGCCACGAGTACGTTCACTAAACTGCCTACTGGATAGAATCTACTACCAAATATTCTCGACACGATCTTTGCTACTACTACTACTAGGCCTACTAGCCTACATGTACTACTACGAGACAGTACGAAAGAGTGTCACTCAGGCAAAGATAGTGTAACTTTGACTCAGCCACGTAGTGTACACTCTTTTTATACCCCAAATTTAACCCGGAAGTCCATTCGGAGGATTTGACCTTTTCACTGGACCAAAGTGTGCCAAAATGGTAGCCTAGCTTTTGCCCCTCCATGAAGGAAAAATCTGGCCCTCATTCAAACCATTGGAATTGAGCAAAATTTTGCGTATTGTGCTCTGTTCTTTACAATATTCATTATGGTTATGATTTATAAGTTGTACACTGAGACAAAACCGTACTAAATGAGAAAGGTGCACCATTATGAAAGTGGAACGAACTCAGTTGCCTGAAAAAGGTAGTTTGAGCATGTGTGGCCTTAATAAGCTAAACCCCCCTCCCTTACCTTATTTAGGCCACAGTCCACTGTGGCCTAAATAAGCTAAACCCCCCTCCCTTACCTTATTTAGGCCATATGTGGCCTAAATAAGCACTCCCATTAATTAACGCCTCGCCATGTGACTAAAGGGAAATAATCACCGTAATGTCTTATTTAAGTGAAAAGTTGGTTATTTCCCTTGGTAGAAGATCTTGGTTATGGTTTGGGATTTTGTTCCTTGAGCATGTTCAATTTTTCAATCCGTCAAAAGTTGTTGTTTTCATGTCTGCTGCTGCTTCATGTTTGACAGGTGTTCCTGGTTTTAGTAATGTGCCAGCATCAGAGGTCCAGATGTCTTTTTAAAATATTTTTTTTTACATTTTTCTTTTCCAGATCTAGATCTAGATCTAGATCTGCAGCTGAAAGTTACAGAGATTATATTTTTTAGTTGTTTTTTTTTTTTTTTACAGATGTATATTGTTTTCTTTCCAAATACACTACAAATTACTGATACTGATACGTTCTGTTTAAAAAATTTCTGTAGGCTTCTTAAAACATAAAAGTCATGAAAATTTGTGTTGAAAAAGTGCAAAACATGTCGCGAAAGGTGTTACGGTAACTTGCATAATTTGGCTTTTTTTTGTGCATAATTTGGCCATCTAAATTCGCATAATTCTATGGGGACAGAATAGGTAGGTTTAAGGTGGACCCCAGGGTCTACCTAACGAAATACTAGTTAGGTTTTAGAATAGGTGGACCATGCGGTCACCGTAGTAAAATAAGTAGGTTTAATCACGGTGTCCCGGGGGTCCACCAATCCTTAATTAAACCTTATTCCTCTACGGCTATGGTGACTCCGGGGTCCACCAATCCTTTTAAAATGAAACCTACTTATTTCACTACGATGACCCCGGGGTCCACCGATCTTTAAAGAAACCTACTTATTTTACTATGGTGACCTGTCCTAAAACCTACATGTATAATATACAGTTCATGCCGGCTTTAAGTAAGCACGGTCATCGGGAGAAAGCTTAAGCGTGCTTAAAGCCGAAGTGTGCTTAAGTGCGAAGTAGACATAATCTGGAGATTTTCATGTTGAAAATTCCCCGTGCTATTTCCCTTTGTTTGTAAGTAGGCATATAACGGTCCCGCAAAAGTGTGCACTGTTATTTAGACACCCGCCATGGTAGTTTTTGTTCGCTTGATTGTTTTTGTTTTGTGGTCGAATGGGAAATGAAAACTTAATTTAGACGGCCAGTCACGATACAGCACACTAGGCCTACTGGTAACTGTAACACACTGCTTGTGCGTACCACTGCCCGCTGTGCCACTCATACCACCGCCTTCATCCCACCTCGTGCGTGATACACAATCAGGATTAATGGATAGCGAGGGTCAACAAAGGTGAAATCGCAGCGAGCCTCCCTTTCTCGTCTCCCCGACTCTCTTTGTATGTATTTTTTTGGTCGTGTGTAGCTTTGCCCAGGCCTAGGCTAGATCTTATGTCCGCTCGCACGGCTGTGTGCATCTCTCTGCCTTCCTCTCCGCCCGTGTGAGTGTCCATCACTTGCGTTCTTTGTGTTTCTCTTGACACACTCCACTGCTGCGGTGTAAACTGTGTTCGAACTTCGATGGGTCATCATGAAAATATTGACTGTCTTGTAAATGAAGCGTGCTTAAAGCCGAAGTTACCGTGCTTAAAGGCGTGTAAATTATATAGCAAAAATTCGGTAAGAGCCGTTTAGCGTACTGAGTCCGAAACGTGCTTAAGGCCGGCACGGACTGTATATATACATATATATATAGTAGACGTCTCCTGGAGGGAGATTATAAAAATAAGCAGCCCAAGGAATTACTGCGATGATAGATGACATAATATAGGCCCTTTTTTTACGAGACAACAACAACAAAAACTACCTGACAACCCCCAACAAAACAAGAAGATGAAGAAGAAAAATTGAGAAACAAAAAAAACCCACAACAGTAACAAAAGCAAATAATCAAGTAGGCCTAGTTGGCCAACCATCCTTTTTTTCTGCAAGGGAGGTGAAAATTTAAAAAACTAAAGCAATAATTAGGCTAGTTGAGTAGCTCCAAGCTAGGAAAGGAAAGGAGTTTTGGTATTTCACATTTACAAGCGACGCGACAAATTGGAAACGAGACTAGTTCAACACGTGTTCTCTGCGAGTCCTGAGTGTCAACAAAACTGAAAGGAATGGTATTGTATGTACATGTACAACGTGTACCGTAACCTATTACCTATTACCGTAAGGCCGGTCCCAGAGTGGCTGTGTAGGTCTGACCTGTAGCTCGCCTGGCTCGCACCGTGCAAATGAATGTATACATTATCGTGTGCTTAAGCAGCGTCGCTGTGTCGTCTGTTTTTCGTCAGCTGAGCTGCGCGATGCGTCAGACGTGCTATTCAACAGTGTTGTAAAAATGGCGGACATGTGTCGCCTCGCTTCGTGTTTATTTTCGACTGAAACTCTTCACAGATCATCAAAATCATCAAGAAGTAAGTTTTATTAGGTGCTTTATTGGGGTGGGGGGGGTGGGGGGGGGGGATATAGACAGACAGACTTGATGTAATGAATGAACCATAAAATGTCGGGAACCATTAGCCTGAAAAGAAATTGTTGGTGATAGTCATAGAGACGACGGCCCAACCACGTGGCTTTCCAAGCGACCACCCCCGACCGTAAATTCATGAACGAGCATTCACGCGTGTTGCGCATCATAGGCTTAGGTCTAACTAAAAATTAGCCAACACGCAGTCACTCAAACACCAGTCAGAAACCTTCTCTCAAAAGAGATGCATTTCCAGTCACCAATCAAATAACGTTTCAGTCCCCCAACCCCCCAACATTTCACCGACCAGTCCTCCTAGACCTATGCTGCCTATACTATGTCTGTGGAAAGTTGGGTGCGAAAGCGCTGTTCATCACTCTCTTTGTTTGGCGTAAGGGGCGATCTCGCCAAATATCCGATTTTCTAAGCTTGTAGTCTTGTAGTGAAAATTTCCCTTAGTCAAGTTTTACCTGTCACTACTGTCAGTGTGTTTCGCAGATCGGAGCGTGCATTTAGAGGGAGTGACCGTGCGTTTGTACGTCTAAATTATATAATAAAAAACCCGTCAGAGGACGAAAGCGTGCGTTTGAGCAGAGCATGCTTTTGTATGGCGTGCGATTAGGCGGAGACTACTGTAGAGGTTTTACAATGAGCGGGTGAAAATGTATGAGACTGAAACAGGGTAAGAAAAGAAAAGATGAAAGGACCTACCACCAGAGGCACAGTTTTTAGTTTTAGTAGAGGTTTTATGGCTCTCGTAACTGGATATGGTAATATGAACGCCAGAAGATTAGAGGCGTTACAAGAGAGTAACAAACATAAAAAAAGAACATGGGGAGATAAAGACGATAGATGTTTGATAGGAGAGATGGAGCAAACCACACCAGACCACCCGCCAACTACCCACTGAGGCACAATTTCTGAGAGGAAATGTACACTTTTACACTAAATAATACACACACACACACACACACACACAAAACCAAAAGTAATATTTTCAAAATCAAGGTCAACTTTATTCTCAGCCATCAGTCTGTCAGTGTCACAATTACAAGCTGCTGCCATTTCAGTGGTAACCAATCACCTACTGGCCAGTCAAGGCTTCCTCACACAATGACAAACCGGGCTCCGTCGCGTCGTGTCATGACCTGCAATGTTGTCGTCCCAGCTTAGTCGAAGAGACCAAAGCCAAGGTCGTCATCCTCGGAGTCCTCAGACTCTTCTTTCTTCTCCTCCTTCTTTTCCTCTGCCGGAGCAGCAGCTGTAGGGGCAGCCGCAGCAACAGCAAACTTGGATGGGTCCTTTAAGTACTCTTTGGTCTGCATGAGAAAAATTAAACAATGTAACACCAGCATTTCCCTCTTCAACATGACATGTAAAAAAAAAAAATTAAAAAAAAAACAAAAAAACTCAGGGCTGCCTTCCTAAAAGTTCCCGTTTCAGGTAGATTCAGGGTCAGTTTCAGGTAGTTTGGCCCAAAATCAGGTAGTACAAAGACAAAGAAGGAAGAAAAAAAAGATGATCGCTGCCCCATCGAACACGCTTTCCACGAGATTGGTGTAATTATATTTTGAAAACTTGTTTTTGAATGCACATGTGTAGGTGTGTGTGCATGCATGTGCACATGCTCTCGCGTGTGTTCGCTGTGTAAATATTATGTGGGGAGGGGAAGGGGGTGTTTGGGTGTGCACAAGTTACGATGAACATAGTGTATGTAATGAGGCGAGTTTTTTTTTTAAAAAGCATTTATGGACTATCGTTCAAGGCACCTATCATTCAGTATTGAATCTGGAATAGAGTGTACAGTGACTGCCAAACTGACTTCAAAACTGCTTTTGTAGGTACCGCAAACTGACAGTGCGCCCCCGTGGCGCACTGTGAAGGAGATCAAAACCCATATTTTTACCCTCCTAAAACACCATGTGATCATGCATACACACAGACACTTAATATATCAGAAGAAAGAGGAGCTTTTTATTGGTATTATTTATTTGAATCAACGATTCTTATGAAAGCAAAATCTTGCGAGATAAAAGACAACACTATCGAGGTTTTCACTGTCGCAGCAGCGCGTTTCGTGCATTGATTTTTTGAGTGACCTCGGTTGAAGAGGAACGGGGAGTGTATGGTATTAAATACTGCAATCTGATTCGTCGATATTTCAAGATGAGAAGACGCTCTTTGGGGCCGTTCAAATATAATCTTACGCCTTTGGCTCTTGTAAGGGGGGGGGGGTGTCTTGATAATGTAATATTACACTTTTGTGAGGTGAAAAACTAATTTTGACCTAATGATGAACTCTGCATTTATTGATGATAACTATAAATTTCACTTTTTTTAAAAGCATAAATGATCAGTAATAACAGAAATACAGTGGAATCCCGATAAAGTCAACTTGCTTACAGTAAACTCTTGCTTACAGTCAACACCTCACTGTAGTCCCGTTTCTTACCTTCTTTGTTAAAGTAATAATTGTGTTTCTGATACAGTCAACCGCTTGAGTGTTAACCTTACGTAAAGTCAACAATTTGGGGCTAAATCCCAAGATGAATTCATTCAAGAAGAGACATTTCGCCTGAGCAAGTGGTGTACACACCTCCAATTACATATATATGTACTTTGTTCTTTCATTATCTCTTATTTTGGTGACAACTTCAGAATTATACTCCCTGAAATTGAGATTACATCTTGTTTATTACCAGGTACTTCACTTTGTAATTTTGTAGCCGTCATCTTCAATTTTCAATGGCCAGTACATGTAGTACAATGGATGAAGTCAACCTTGCTCAAAGTCAACACTTTTTTTCTGTCCGGGGTGTTGACTTTATCAGAATTCCACTGTAACTTTTAAAAAAAATTAATTAAAGCGCTTTTGTCATAAACAACAGTCTCAATTTTTTCCTTTATATGAGTAAAAAGAGTGTGTATGCAATATTTTCCTTGAATGATAACTCTAATTGTGAGGCAGCGTGGTGAAATCAGGCGCTCGTCAAAATAATGAAAGTGGAAAAAAAATGGCATTTTTCCGCAGGTTTTATTGAATTTTTTTTCCGCGCTAAACACCTTTTACGCTCATACTGAAAAACGTTCATTACATGCACAACATTTGTAATTTTTCAGTTTTAAAGGCTCTCAAGCTATTGAAGTTATCATACTTTGGCGGCTGTTTTCTCACTAAATTTACCTCTGAAATAAGGTGATCCCATCTCTTTCAATCACAAATATTCCGACTTCTATTCAGCATAGATGAATATTGTTTTCATCAAAAGGAAGGCAAATGGACAGGCTTTAAGATGATATCAATAACTCTGTATGCCTCAAAATCAAAACTGACGAGCCCTTGATCCCACCATGTCGTGACACCTATTATTTTTTAGTGCATATATTATTATGTGCATGTATGTTTTTCATGAATATTATGCAATGCGCATATAGCAATGATTTTTTAACGGATTTGCGCGATATAAATGTCATATTTTTATCATTATAAGCGAACAATGTAATATTATTGGGGGGGGGGGAGGTAAGGGCAAATGTAAGGAAAGAGTCTCCCAAAAGGTGTAAGATTATATTTGAACAGCCCCTTTCCGGTGTGATATATTTCTAAAGACTGTCCTTTAAATATTAATAGAAGAGATTTGCGTGTGAAAACTTTCGGTGTTGTTTTTTATGGAACCAGTGATCAGACTGACTACGGAAGTATATCGGCACAAAGCCCATTCATTCCTCTTCAAGAATAACACAGCCATTATTATACGCAAATAAACACCGGATGCTCCCCGTCAGCTCGCAAGAAGGGCACCATCGCCCCGGTTTCGTATAAATTCTCTCTTCTTCCCTTCAGCGCGCAGCCGATAAGCCGGTGGTCGCAAGTGGTGTATTTTTTGCCGTTTTGGTCAAAAAGCCATGTTTACGTCAATAAATTTCCATCTTCTGGTTATTTGATAGCCCTGAAAAAAATTGAGCTTGTTTTCTATGTGCATAGCTGTGTGTCTACAAGTTTTTGTGAATGTCCATTCAAATTTTAGAATGTTGTGACATCTCAAAGTGTAGACATTTCGCAATTTAAAAAACTAACATTTTTCTGAAACTTCAAATGTTCATAACTTTGTTAAAAATGAAACTATATGTATAAATTTGGTATCCAAATGCTCAGAATGATAAATTCTATAAGGTAGTGCAGTTAACTAAGAAATCAGAGGACTTTGAAATTTCAGTTTGTGGTACCTACTGCTTGCCCATACTGTTTATTATGCACAAACTGCAAGGAGAGAGAATTTATACGAAACCGGGGCGATGGTGCCCTGCTTGCGAACCGACGGGGAGCGTCCAGTGTTTATTTGCGTATAATGGCCGTGTCATTCTTGAAGAGGAATGAATGGGCTTTCTGCTGACATATTTCCGTAGTCACTGGTTCCGTAAAAAAACAGCACCGAAAGTTTTCACACGCAAATCTCTTCTTTAATTCTTTAAGGACAGTCTTTAGAAATATATCACCGGAAAGAGCGTCTTCTCATCTTGAAATATCGACAAATCAGATTGCAGTATTTAATACCATACGCTCCGCTCCCCCTTCCTGTTCAACCGAGGTCACTCTAAAAATCAATACACGAAACGCGCGGCCCCTGCGGTGAAAACCTCGAGTGTTGTCTTTTATCTTGCAAGATTTTGCTTTCAAAAGAATCGTTGATAATACCACTAAAAAGAGGAAAAGCTCCTCTTTCTTCTGATATATCAAGTGTCTGTGCGTATGCATGATCACAGTGTTTTAGGAGGGTAAAAATATGGGTTTTGGTCTCCATGACAGTGCGCCAAGGGGGTGCACGGCCACTTTGCGGTACCTAATTTTAAAATGTTTTGCTTCGATATCGATTTTCGTTCTACATTCACAATTCTAGATAAATGATTTTCCAGCCGCAGCAACAACCCGAAGATAGACAAAGAAAGAACAAATGAAAGGAAGGAGAAAGAATATCTATCGCGAGTAGACAGATTTTAGCCGATATGCACATGAAAAAATATTGCCGACCGAACAGCACATATAGACAATGGTCGAGTGTACGAAATGCGCAATCTGGCAGTTTCTAATACAACGTATTGCCGGGAGTTGCCGTAAATATCTGACAAGTTACGGAGGCAAGAGCTGATCTCTCTCTCTCTCTACGCATGGAGGTGACATGATGATGCGGCCAATACGGAACTTTCGGAATGTACGGATTTCCGCAAAAACAAAGAAGAATGGGAGCACCGGAGAATGTTTTTTTCTTCTTTCGGCACCCATTGAAAATCCGGTAGTTTTGACACTTTATCGGTATGGCGGTAGAACAGGCCCAAAATCGGTATCTACCGGAAAAATCTGTAGATTTAGGCAGCCCTGCAAACTGTATCAGCTTACAAACCTCCATTCATGAACACAAAAAATACACCCCCCCCCCCCCCCACATATACTTCAACCATTTTTCATAGTATGACAGTCTGTCCCCCTTTACAAGAAACATGCAAATCTATCACTTAAGTATCAGAGCTCATAATAATATGGTGGTGGTGATGTCTTTTCCCCACATGCTTTACTGCTGAACATGAAACATGGGAGGGCAGACTTTTTTTTTACCAAACTTTTACTTCTTTTGTTAGTCCCTTGTTGGCCACAGGGTTCTGACTTAAGTAAGATAAGTTTCTGTTCTCTAAATCAGTTATACCGTGTTTCCCACTTCCTCTGCCCATGTTACTATAATTTAACAAGATCCATGGATCACCAGCAACAAAGATATGAACTCTGAACATTATTGTACTGAAGGCAGGAAAGACCCAACTATACCCCAGTCATTTCACACATTACACCCTAAGGGCCTGGACGGGAAGTCCATTCCTAGATCCTAAGCAAAGGGAAGGTCCCACCTCCCGTGAATACAAGTGTTTAAAATTTTTTTTTAAAACACTAAACAAATTCAAAAAATCCCGAAAAAATAAAAGTTAAAAAGAAAAATTAATGTAGTTTCAGAAAAAAATAACTATGTATGCGCAAACTGTTAGAAATGTTCTAACTTCTTAAATCCAATCGGGGTGTCCGACCTGTCACTCTCATTCTCAGCCCCGCGGTCGGACCCTAGATCTAAATTCTAGATTTTCTCTGTCTGATCAATCTGAATCGCCCCAAACTCTTGCAACAACGTTTTCATCAAAATCTGAGCCATCTGATTTGTCATATGCTGGTTTTTGCTCAAATCCATCGTTATTTCCGAGCTCAATTGTGTCGCTTTTCAACAAGTCGAGACACTTTCGAAATGTCAGTAAAGCGATCGCACTTCGATCAGCTCTAATATTAAAGCTACGGCCCGAAAAATTTCATTTCGGTATCAAACAAAAGAAGAAACTTTTTGCAATAACTATATGCAAATCAAAATCTCGGCCCCAGAGTCTCGTCAAGGCGAAACTTCGTTTCTAAAGACGCTAGGTCGGCCCAGGCGGTTCCGGGTGACTCAGGGTGGAGCGTGTAAGGAAATTCACCGGCGATCCAGGGTGTAATGTGTTAAATCCTGATTCATTTAGTCAGCAAAAGACATTGAATAAGAAAAAGATAAGTGTACCTGCTCAGCCTCAGCGAAGTCATATTCTGTAGAGACGGCAATGGCCAAGAGGTTTTTGAAGCCATTGATGATGGAATGAGGGGCTGAGGCAGCAGTTGGATATCCAATGGCCAATGAGACTGAGGCAATATTGCGCACACCCTGAAGACAGGCAAGCAGATGATAATCAATATACTAGCTGTTAATTCATCAACTTGATCAAAATCATAGAAAATAATGCTTTTAATTTTCAGCAATGCACAAAATGTTAAGATATTTTTTTCTCTTCATGACAGGATGTCAAACTTGAGAAAGTGCACAACTCAGGTCCCAACTTTGGGGGGGGGGGGGGGCCCATTCCCGTTGTGAATTATGGATTAGTGGACTGATCAATATTTACAACATCATCAACTAATTTTATCTTCAGCTTTGAAGGAAATAGAGGGAAAACAAAGAGGACCTGTACATTTCAGTCCATTGGCACAATAAAGTTTTACTTTTATCCGCCGCTTATACCCTTTTGGGTGTGGCTAAAATTGTCTTATTCAAAAGAAAAGGTGAATAGCGGAACAAAAAAATAAATAAAAACTTGACACAGACACAGTTCTCTGAAATTTCTCACCTTCTCAGCATTGGACAACCATATAAAACAACATTTAAGTTATTTAACACTTTTGGTTGATTGCTGCTGGTATGCCGGCATACCAGCGATCGAAGGGGTGTATCATTCATGAGCTAAAACCACAGAACTCTAAAGTACTTTTGCTCAGGGAAGCCACACTTTACAAAAATCCGAAAGGGTTAATAGCAATACCAACAGCAAGGAAGTGCTTTTACTCTTCTATTTTATTTTCTTAACAACCAAAAAAAAAAAAAAAAAGAAGGCAAGATCTTAATCAGTTACATTTGGCAGAGATGCCAACCACAGAAAACCGAAATGAGTATTGGGAAATATGAAAATGTGTATTTTCAGGTGAAAATGTGTATTCCCCACGACCGACCGACCAACCAGTAGGCTAAAACAGCACATGGACATGGATGGCTGGTGCCTCTATAAATAAATCATTGATGGTCGACCAACCAGTAATAGTAAAATGTTCAGGGTTTCCAGCAATATTTCCTGAAAAAAAAATTACTAGCTCACCAGCTCGGAAAAGGGAGCACACACGCATACAATATATACATGTATCCAGTCAACAACATGTCAGTGTTCAATGTTGTACTCGGGTCTTGTTTGACTTAAGTATTTCAGTCTATTATATAATATTTTCCTCTCATTATTATTATTATATAAAAAATTAATCCTGCTTTGAGGGTTCGGAAGGGCCTAGAACAAGAATTTCGACTATCAAGAACCAGTCTGGGTGTCATGATTCATATTATGAACTGACAGACTAAAATTATTGCTCAAACTCAGAGAAAAGCAATAACTTGAATGGCTCAAGTAGACTCATGCACTGTGAGAGCTGTAACAACTGTGGTAGGGCAAGATGCAGTGACACTGAAAATCTGCCAGTCTTGAACAGAAAGCTACAACATACACTGTAGGTATAATTTACTATCACCAATCCAAGTAGGTATAATTTACAATCACCCATCCAATGAAACGCGAACACTTTATTTCAATAACCCAGACTTGCAAAGTATGAGGGGTCCCGATTCCGCACATGGCCTGCACCAACGCGCGCTTTGCAGAAAGCTCTAATAAAAATTCTGAGAAGTGCTTCCAAGTTTTTGTCCTCTGGTGTTGCCTTAAACCCCCGATAGTATCTTAAACCCCCAAAAAATCAATAATCTCCTCCCCTATTCCGTAGTCATATACTTCGCAAGGCCGTTACTCCCACAAAGACGCTCTTTGCTCACACGATGCCGCATTTATTTGTGATGCGAATGCGCACAGGGTCAGTGACCGGTCACGATGGCGAGCCAGACAATCTAAAAATTGGAAGACGCTTATTTTCTCTCTTTTTTCCCCACAAGTGACAGCACAGCGACGAGTATTTATTGCATTTTATTTGAACTGCGACATTGTGTTTATACTGCACAACCTGCATGCCACAAATGTTGCATTATCAGACAACTGCTGGAAAACTTCTCGGTGGTAACGAAAGCGAAAGTAGATCTTGATTTTCCAGATCGAGCCTCGGTGTCACATACGCTTCCGCCTGCCGCCATAGCTACCTTTTCGAGTGAAAGTGAAACGTACTCTCCAGACGGGGAGAAGATGAACGAATATAATATCACGATCGCGACCGGCAATACTGACCACATCGGACTTGGTTTTCAAATATTCCAGTTCTGCGATACTGATACTATTTTAAGATGGGACCTGAGATAATTAAGTTTACTCGCCCAAGCTGAATCTCGTAGTTTTCGCATTCCAGGATGCGTATTTTTTCATGAAAAGTCGTATTCCCGTATTTTAGGCCAAAAATCGTACTAAAATACGTAAAATCGTACTGGTTGGCATCTCTGGCTTTATTTTTCACGATTTTATACACTGGGTGACTACAAATGATATTCTGGATGCTTAAAACAGAGCACAAGAAATCCTGGTGCTTTAGATTGTTACCTCTATCAAATTGCTAAATAAAAATACTTCTTCACAGAGAGTTGAAAGCTTGAAAATTAATGGCAACTGGCAACAAACGCAGATGCTAGGAAAATAGGAAAAACGCAAAACATCTCACATACCGACATAAACTTGGAGATGATGTCGTCATTTGTAATGTCCAAGATAGCTGGGCTGAAAATGGTGCCAGAGTCGTACACTGTAAAATATTAAAGGTAGAAATTTAGTTCCAAGTCACAAACCATTTATCTGCGATTACAAAGGTAAATGACAAATTTCAAACAGAATGGAAAACAGTACAGTCAAAAATAACACATACAAATTGGACTTATTAAAATTAAAATGTGTTTATTAGTACAGCAGACTTTCCTGGGCCCCCAGCATCTCTTCTTCTTTAGAGGTCCAAATCGTTAAGCAGAACCTTGCAACGAGTGGATCTTTATTTCACTCTTTCACGACATCAGCTCATCCGTAGCCGACTGAATTTGTTAACTTACAGGAGCTATTGGTTCCATGGAGATACAATATTCATTTGATATTCAACACATGTACATTCCACAAATGATACACGTGCAAACACACTTAAGTTTCTCTGTCTTCACAAAATCTTACCGACATAGATTTTTAAGGTAAATTTTGAGTGACAGTACCTCGCAAGACTTATTGCATAAGCAACAATGCGTTAGCTCTTGCAGGAGAAGTAACAAAGTGTCCGATGACGCAGACTTTAATTCGCTTTCCATCAGTAAGCTGCATGAGTCGGCAGCGCAAGGCTTTAACCTGATAAATGGGTGAAAACAATTTCAAGTTTCTTTAGGACACCACAGAATATATCTTACCATTTTCAATCAGAAGTCCATAGGTGAAGGGAGAGATGTTCAACATGTTGAGAAGAGTTGACTCGGACTGACCGACTTTCTCGCCCTCCTTGATCAGGGACACCTCGTTCTACATTTAGAGGGGGAAAAAAGTTTTTAAAATTCTAAAAGCCAGTATCTCTTTAAAAAAAAAAAGTTTGTAAATTGTGCCCTGGGTTTTTGTTTCTACAGACAACAGTATCCAATCAAAAGATTTGTCCACTCAGACTGGTGTTGAGTCCAAATAATGATCTCTACCTGAGTGCCCACAAGGGGGGTTATGTCCTTGTATAGACCCCAGGCTCCCAACTTCAACAAACATTTCATCATTGTGGACAAAACTTTGCCCCC